GAGGATTAACAAAAAACAAACCAATAAATATTGACTATGATCACAATTTATGTAGGTCAGGAATTCAGGGTGGTTCTGGCTCAGGGTCTGGATGAGGTTGCAGTACAGATGAAATCAGGGGATGCCGCTATCTGAAGGCTTAATGGGGACTGAAGGATCTGCTCCCAAGCTGACCCATCCTTATGGTTGGCAAATTGGTGTTGGTCGTTGGTGGGAGACCTCAGGCCTTCTCAGGTGGACTTCTCCATTGATCGGTGTCCTCCTGACAGTCACTTCTGCAGAGCGAGTGACCGAAGAGCAGGGTGGAGTGGCAGTGCCTTCGGTAACTTTGCGTGGGAAGTCATCCACTATCACTTCTGTCATATTCTAGTTTTAGAAAAGATCTGGTCCAGCCAATGTGGGGGGAAGGAAACTAGACTCCACCTTTTCAAAGGAGGAAGGCCAACCATTGGAGGACAATACTGACTCTAAATACTGTTTCCCCATGCTTATTTTGGATGTAAAATCCTTTTTCCTTGTAAGGTGGACAGATCTGCTCTCTAGGCCCCAGTTTTCATGATACAACTTCTCAGTTTTCTTAAGAAAAAGAATAATAAGGGCAGTATTGTGGGATTGTTTTGTCATTTGTACTGGTCAACCTGAATTTTTGAGTTTCAGACAATGTGATATCAAAAGATGACTTAACATTGTTTAGGCTTCTTTTTGTAGCAAACTATGAAGGAGGAAAAAATAGGTTAAAATATTTATCTTTAAAAGTGCCAGATATCAATTTAATGTCAGCTCCAAATCCACCCTTCTTTGTCCTGCTTCTATAGACCAGCTTTTATCCACCCTCCTATTCTGGCACTTGTGAACCACTTACTTCTACAGACCAACTTCAGTGCAGACCCTCTGGAAAGCTATTCAGGGGCAGGCTGTGTATTTCTGTGGTAGCCAGGCCCTCCTTAGAGAAGTCTGATCTTCGCTACTAAGTCCCTTGCTCCTACACTGTTCTCCCTTCCTTAGTCTCAGTTAGTAACTTCTTTTTTGCATGTGCCACTTAAGGATATTTTGGAGTCTTCTTTTATCCTTTTTAGGAGTTAACTACCTTTTATTAGTTAACAATTCTTTGTTTAAAGTTTTTCCTATTCTAATTACTGTGCGATTTCTGTCTCCTGGTAGATTCTGACTGCTATGGAATTCATATCTGGAGTGGTCCCAGGAGACAAACCTGAAAAGATGGATTTTGAGAACTGGGTGAGCCTCTTGCCAATGGAAAATGAGATGCCAGTTACCCAGGGAATGAAGCATTACAATTAAGTTATCACCTCTAGTTAATTAGATGCCAATTAAGTAAGTGTGTGGGAGCCCAGGCAACTGCTGTACTTGCCCAGTGGAAGCTCTCTGGGTGCTTTGGAGAGCATGAAGAAAAAATAAATAAATGACAATCTCAGGTATTTTAACTCCTAGTGAAAATTATGATCTTGCAACCACTAACTATGACATCCTTAAAAGAATCTCATTTCTGGCAGCTATAGACCAATCTTGTTGAAAATCAAACACAAAACTTAATTATGTGGGTTGCAGCTAAATTCACAGCCTCACTTTTTCTCATGAGAAAGTTAGGGCATTGACAGGAACATTGTGGCACCCTGAAACTTGAAATGAGAACATCTAATTGAACCCAGAGGAAACTGAAGCTCTGCGATCACTGAGCCACTCTAAGGCTCCCTTTCCACCAGAGGTAACTTTCCCTCTTATGCCTGAGGTTACTAGCCTTCCTGTGATCTTCTCACTTCAGGCATATGCCTTGCAAGGGAATGATCTTTCTTGTCAAGACCCACCACACTCCCCTCTGTTTTCACTAGACCCCTACCGAGGGTCAAATTTCATCAAGCTTCCAAGGACCAAAACAACTCTGGAATGTAATGGAGTACACACCCAAAGAATTGCAAGTTTTTGTGACTATATATCATCAAAAACTGGGGGGTATGTATGGAAATGGATCATAAAGATGTTAGAATAAGGAGGGCAGAATATAAAAATGGGCCAGAGTGAATGCAGCGCTACTTGCCACTAACTGTCCAGAGCTCCAACATCCTCCCTGTCCTCCCCCTGCCTGCTCCTTGCCCGTGGCCAACCGATGCTGCAGCATTCTCATCTGCTAGTGAGCTCCTCATATGGACACCTCATGGGAGAGGTGGTGTATGCCCCTCCCGAGGTGAGATGTAAAGAACTAGGTGGAAATCTCCCTATGCACTGTGGATATGTAGCTCTGTTATTTGTGTAGGTCACAGCTGTTCTCTGGGCAGGTTTATGGCGCTGCTAATCTTTATTACACAGAAACAAGTTACTTGACTCCTGCACTCCTACCTGTAGTTTTTCAGTTGTTTTGTTATGGACTGAATGTTTTTGTCCCCCCAGAATTCAGATGTTGAAATCCTATCCTCTGAGATGATGGTATTAGGAGGTAGGGCCTTTGAGAGGTGATTAGAGTTAGATAAGGTCCTGGGGGCAGAGTTCTTTGAAATGGGGTTAGTGCCCTTACAAGAGTCATGGAGAGCTTGCTTCCTCTCTGCTCCCAGCCATGTGATGACAGCAAGAAGGCAGCTGTCTGCAGCCCAGAGAGGGCTCTTTCCAGAACCCAGTCAAGCTGGCACCCTGCCCTTAGACTTCCAGTCTCCAGAACTGTGCGAAATACATTTATTGTTTATAAGTCACCCAACTTAAGGTATTCTGTTGTAGCAGCCCGAGCAAAGACATTTTTTAGAAGTAAGGTTAAATAAGGCTGGTGACTGACTCAGAGGTATATATGATTGTGGTCTCATTGACACATATCCCCCCAAATGGAAATGACAACAAGAAAAAATTCACTTAAGTCTTGGCAGCTTATTTGGCCATTAATTCTGGACAAGGGCACTTAAAAATATATGAATTCCTTTTCTTATACCATTACCTTTGAAGTGAAATTGATGAGCTATATGGACACATACAAAAGCAACAGCAAAACAAACAAATAAATGCCAAAGAATGTGAATTCTATATTAGAAAATGTTATATCATTATAAGTAAAGTCTGTAAGGAGCTGTTACTTTCTATTTCAAATGTATTTCAAAGAAATGAATCTGCCACCTGCCCAAGAACTGAGGAACGCAGAGGATGATTAAGATATAACTTTGGGTCTCCGTTAGAAGTACCATTGCATTTTTTTCATATTTTACGTTTTGGTAGCTATTCAAAACACAGTGCCAGACATTTGGAAATAATATTAAAATATCTCAGTTGTTTAAATGTCTAACAGTAGATCCCAGGCTCTCAGGACTCTTAAATTTTTTCCGCCCTGTTTAACTAACTTAGTTTAATCCATAGGCTATTTTTATGGAATTTGGTATCAACATATAAATAAGCCACAAATGAAGATCTAATCAATACAGTCAAAATATGTGTTTTAAGTCATTTTTATATTCAGTTAGTGGTAGAGCTGATGACATGCAGTCCAAAAGAGTCCTGAAGTTTGAACTTTATGTAAATACTTGAGTATAAATGTCATGATTATTTATACAAGTGTGAAAACACTAAAAAAGTTCTCCCAAAGCGAAAATATGGTCAGCTATGCATTGAACCATTTAATTGAATCA